GCACATGGTCGAGTCAAGTCAAGCTCTCCTGGCTATTCTCTTCTTCAGCTAAACAACATAGGCCCCTGGAAGGTGGGGTGTTGGTGATGTTTGAGCCTCTTGGGTTGCACTGCTGCAGTGTGGTTCACTTGCCTTCCACATCTGGAATAGAACTGTCCGCTGTGGATCACATTTTAATCCTTCTTCCAGGGGATTATGTTGTCATTTCTTCTGTATTGGATTGCTTGTTTGCTGTGTTGTGCCTCATAGCCAACTCTTTCCGGGTCACCTCGTTTTGTTTGCTGGAGCACATCCTTCAGTAGCTTTTTTAGAACAGGTGCTTGACAGGTACATGTTCTGGCAACTCATAGGTATAAAATGTCTTTGTTCCACTTTACTACTTGATTAAGAATTTGGATGTAGAATTACAGCCTTCAGAATTTTGAAGGCCTTGCTCCCTTGCGTTCTTGCTTCTGATGTTACTTTGACAAAGTTGAAGCCATTCTGACTTGAGTCCTCTGTGATCTCTTTTTGTCTCCTATAGACGTTTGTAGAGTCTCCTGTGCCCTGAAATCTCACAATGCAGATCTGTTTTCCTTTACTGTGCTGGGTACTAACGGAACTCCTTCATTCTAGGAATGACACCTAGTTACAGCCATTTTCTTGAATTATTTCATGAATAACCCTCCCCCCCACACACACACATACCCTTCTATTTTTTGGCAGGATTGGATTTGATCTCAGGGCTTTCTGCTTGCTCTCTACCACTTTGTCCCTCCGCTCATGCCTCTATCCCTTTTTGCTTTTGTTGTTTTTCCAACTACGCCACCCCTCAAATGGGGGTAAGGATGAAGGCAAGGAGCCTTTTCCTCATTCTAAGTATAGATTGGCTATTGGAAGTGACAGAGCTTTGTCACCTGTGATACATGCAGTTGTTTCAGGGACCTGGAGGCCGTAGGGTCATTCCCAGGAAGCTGGTAGGCACACGCCTCGGCCCCTTAGCTCAGGAGGACAGGCAGCAGCCTGGGTTTCGTGGGCCCACAGTTGAACTTGGCCACTGTGGTCCAGCCATTCTCCCGGATGGCGATTGCTTGTGTTTCCCAGGCAGGAATTCATCTTTTTCTATCTCGTCCTCTGCCCAATCTGTTGTGGACTTTGTTAGTCTTTCCTTTCCATGCTGAAGACTCTCAAACTGGAGATGGCTCTTGGAAACAGTTCCTGCTCTGTCATCCTTCACTCAGACGTGAGAAAAGAGAGTTCCGGCTGCCATCTGGAAGGGGCCCCAGGCACAGGGAATACCTGGACAAAACACCTCTTCAATCACTCATTTAAAAGATGAGTCCTGGCTGGGCACTGGTGGCTCATGCCTGTAATCCTAACTACTAAGGAGGCCAGGGAAAGAAAGCCGATGAGACTCTGATTTCCAATAAGCTACTAAAAAAAGTTGGAAATGGAGCTGTGGCTCAAATGGTAGAGCATTCGCCTTGAGCAAAAGAAGCTCACGAACAACACGAAGGCCCTGAGTTCAAGCTTCAGGACCAGCACAAAAAAGTGGGGGTTCTTATAACCGATGCCTTCCCTTGCAGGGAACCTAAGCCTGCCAAGTTGTCATTGCTGGGGTCCTGGTTTTCTCTGTCCACTTGACTTCTTGTTGGGGAGGCTGCACATGCAGGAAGGGGGCTGAGGAGCAGCATGGCTCCTGCTTCTACAGGAGAATGGCAAACTACATCTACAGTTCAGTAGCCAGCCTGGCGCAGGGATGAAGGATGGATGGGGCAAGCTTTGGGTCATTGTGGCTTACAGGACTAGGCTGTAATCTTATGAGAGCCTGCAGAAGAGGGCAGAATGTCTGCTCTTGGCTAGAAAGGAACTAGTAGAAGCCAGGCCAGAAGCCAAGTGCAGTGAACGGCCGCAAAGGCTAAGGCCAATGTCAAGGAGATCACTAAGAACCACACAGGAGCTGGCAGCTTGGCCAGCCCTCCTTGCAGCAGTAATCCCCTGAGAGATAGACCTGGGCTTCAGAGTCAAGCTTATGGTGATGAAAACCAAAATGGTAGCCATGGCTGATGATGGTACCCATGGCTGGCCTGCCAGAGGCTGTTGGCATGGAGGGTTCATGTGGCTCCAGTCCTGCTCTCCGTGTCCTAAGCAACCCTAAGCATCCATGGACACAACTGCAGGGGCGGTCACCTGCCAGCTAACCCCAGGGACCCTAACTTTCTGTCTTTACCTCCTGCTTTACCCCTGAGATTTGGGGCTTCTCTACAGTAGCTAGGCTTTAGGGTTGCAGGAATGTTCTAGATCATAATGTCCAAGACATCACCCCCCCACACCTCAAGTAATCATGCTGAGAATTTGTTGCCAACAATTTCGTTGTGTTGGATACGGGGCTTTGAACTCAGGCCTGAGCACTGTCTGTGAGTTTTTTTGCTCAAGGCTAGCATTCTCTCACTTGAGCCACAGCACCATTCCTGGTGGTTAGTTGGAAATAAGAGTCTCATGGACTTACCTGCCTGGGCTGACTTCAAACCACAGTCCTCAGATCTCAGCCTTCTGAGTAGCTAGGATTATAGGCATGAGCCACGGACACCCAGCTGAAATGGATATTTCTAAAGGATCTTTAGGAAGCTTTTTGGATTCAGTTCAGCTGAAAACCAGGCTTGCTTAGCAGAAGTGCTTTGAGACATGACAAGCAGCCCAGGTCTGGCCTCAAAGTGGTCCCCACATCCCTTGTAGGGGATGTCTGGAGAGATCACTGCTCCAAGGCCTTTGGAGGGGACCAGAGGGAGTCGAGCGTGACAAGTGGGTAGCCTGGCAACCCAGGCCTCATGTGCTCTATCTGTAAGTGTAGTCTCAGTTCATAGCCCTGGCTTATCTGAGGGCTATCCTCACTAATTCCTTAGGAGAACGTGGATATTCTAGATAGCTTTTAATGTTAACTCGCCTATGCTTCAAATATTATCACCCGCAAAAATGCTGCATGGCTCTAAAGAGAGCCTTGGTGGTCTGGTTTTGTCCTGGTGGGGTGTGGGGGGGGAGACCCTTAGCTTAATAGAGGCAGAGGTCATGTCCAGCCTCTCCCCAGGGGAAGACTTTTCTATGGAAATTACCATCTTTCTGCTTCTCAAGGTGGTTCTGAAGGTGAGCTGTCCCTGCTCGTTGAAAATGCAAAGAAATAAATGTATAAAAATAGAGTAGCAATTCCTCAACCCCTCTGTCAGGTTTAAGTCCCCAGCATCTCCTCTGGGAGCAGCAGGGATGGCCCTGAATCATCTCCAGGCAGCTCAGCAGAGCCTCAGCTCTGCATGGATGATGTCCCTATCCCTGTCTCTGGGATAGCCCTGATAGTTGCTGCCATGTGTGTGCAAGTGTACAAGTCCATTGCATGCACATGTGTGTGTAACTGTGGGAATACTGCATGCACACGTATGTGCCTTGCATGCACATGTATGCAAGTGTGCAGGTACATTGCACGCAGGCGTTCATGTATGCATATGCAAATGTGGGTGCATTGCACATATCCACGTGCACATGCACATTGGATGCACATGTGTGTACAAGTGTATGAGGGCATGTATACTCACATGTGCAGAGTGGGCCCAGGTCCCGCAGATCCCAGGAGGTATAATAAGTACTGAGGCAGCTTCCCTGCACCACCTCATCAATCATCTCTGTTCCTCACTTCTTGGTCTTGCCCACAGCCAAGCTTCAGGCTTGAATCCCTAACATGCTAGTTAGTTTGTCTTGTCTGAGACAGTCAGAAGGATGTGAGGCATTTGTTTGTGGCTAAGAATCAGCCACACTGGGGTTCCATCAGTCTCCACATCTGTAAAATGGGGACCAATATTCCTACCGAGGATGTCTGTTATCTGAATGGGCGAGGAGGCATGCTAGTGGCTGGTGTGTAACACAGGACATGGAACCAGGTATCTCCATTCCCTTCAGTGGCTTGGCTCAGCCTCTAGCCTTCCCAATGCTTTCTCAGGGCGAGAGTGTCTAGGATCATCAAGAAGATGCCACTGGACAACATGACCTGTGGCCTGGCCTGGCTCTGATAGAGATCGTGGCAGCAGGGTAGGGGTGAGCAGGGCTTCCAAGGTTCTGGTGTTGGATTTGGCAGGCAGAGGGTGATGTGGAGCTTCATCGGTGCTGATGGTCACTTGGTGAGTCTGCTGTCATCTCAGGCGGTGCTGGCCGGGGAGGGCTGGGCGCTGGAGCTCTGGCCCATGTTGAGCTCTGCGCTCAGTGAGAAGTTGATGGAATTGATGGAATAGAAACCCTATGCAGGTAGCAGGGACAGCATTCTGGGGCCCTGGGCCTGATGGGCATCCAGGCCCATCCTGGACCCTTCTGCTGAGCCTGCTTAGGCTCCATTCTCCTACATGGCCAGTTTATAGCTGGAGGGCAATGTCTGCCACATCAGCCTGTTAGGAACTGTCACAAAATGGGCGCATGTTGGTCCCTGAAGTACTAAATCAGCACTGGGGCAGACTTAGTCCACCAAAGTGGATAAGAAGCAGGCATGGGAGCTTTTGAACTCAAGTGAAAGACTGAGCAGAAAGTTCAAAGAGGATCCAGGCCAGAGACTCAATGGGCTAAATCTCAGTTTCCCCAGTTGTAACAGGTTGACAACAGACAGCCCATTGGGAGTGCTAAGCAGAGTCCCACTCTCTTCTCCTATACCACCTCTATTCTTGGCACACCTGTTGCCATGCACCAGCCTTGGGATCCCTAATGGCCATCCCGGTACTGGGCTGAGTCTCAACCTCAGGCCACCACTGCCAGGGTTGTGGCTGGAGTTGAGACTGGTGCTGAGGAAGGGGCTGGCCTTGATGCCATGGAGGAAGTGCTTTAGGGGCTACCGATTCCAAGTGGCCTGTCTTTGTCAATACTGCTACTCTGGGTTTCAATGAGGTGATGGTTGGCCTGGCCAGGGCTGAGTTGCATCCTGGGATTTCGTTGTGCTGGGGTCTTTGAGGAGGTGCTAGGCTGCTGCTGGAGATAGTGTCCTCTGCTTCTAGGAGCCTCCTGGGGAAACCTGGACAGCCTGAGCCGAGCCCTGGGTGTCCTGGAGGACCGCATCAATAGCTCTAGGCGGAGAACACGCAGGCACGTGACAGATGATGACTACAACATCGAGGTCCTGCTGGGCGTGGATGATTCTGTTGTCCAGTTCCACGGGAAGGAGCACGTGCAGAAGTACCTACTGACACTAATGAACATCGTAAGTAGAGCTGGCTGGGGCTTGGAGATGGGTTGGGTGACAAGGGAAGGGGTAGGTGTAGATGGAACATTGGGGCCTGGGCAGGGCTGCAAGGGCCGAGGACCAGGACTGGAGCAAGAATGAGAAGAACTGGTGGGTGAGATTCTTCAACACTTCCGGTGGCCAGCAACTTGGAGGCGCCCTGAGGGGAGAATACTGGTGGGAGAGAAGGCCAAGCTGTGGCCCTGGGTGGAGCATTGTGAGGAAGGGGTGTGGTTTGTGGGCTGCAGGTAGACTGGAAACCCAGGCAGTTGGTAAGTTCTGAAATAGACTAAGGCTAATCAAATGGCCCAGGTCCACGTGGAGACAGGCAGGTGGACAGGAGAGGGAGATGGGCTGTGGGCCCGCTGGGCAGTTCTGCTTTGCTGGACCTGGTGCTGAGCCCTTAGGTGCTAAGCTGGCACCCAGACCCTGGTGAAAAGACACATTGGGGACAAAAGAGAGGATGTGAGGGCTGAGCACCGAAGAACGACTGCCACCAGCGTCACCATCCTCCCCTAGTCTGGGAGGAGTCATTGCCACCCCCAAATCCAACCTTCACAGTGAGACTGAAGAAGCCCTTTGCATGTGCAGAGAGCATTTTATTTTGAGGACTGTTCTTCATCTGCCCTTAATGTGGAAAATTAGCCTCATATTAATTTTAATGTAATAATAACAATATTAATAAAACCATCGAGAGCTCCATCATCGGAGTTCGCAGTATGTGGCCATGTGGGGCCTGTGCTCTGAGTCTCCAAGACAGGTTAGATGTAAAAGTCTTTGTCAGCCTTCAACATGTGAATTCTTTCCTGAAGCCTCTACTACCTTCCTACCCAGTGGGGAAATAATGCTGGTCCTTCACATCTACAAGTGTGGCATGTTCATCCTCTTTCACTGGAGAAACCACCATCCAGTTTTGCATCTTCCATTCCCACCAACAAGGCCCAGGGGCTCTGATTTCTTCACAGCCCTGCAGTGCTTGTTTATTTATTACGGTAACCATCTGGGTGGGGAATTTGTAATTAATCAGTGCTTAGACGTAAATTGCCAGTGTGGCCAGTGGCAGTTGTGAGGGGAGGGTACCATTCAGGAAGATCGGTACATGGTGCCCTCTTCTGAACTTGAACTTCGCCACTGTGAACTTGAACTTCACCACCACCACAGCCTGGACAGCCCTGAGTGTGTGGCACCTCAAGCCACAGCCCACATGGCCCTCTAAGGCTTGGCCAATGGCTCATCACAGTCCTCTTGTCAGCCCACAGATCGCAGGCATATGTGGTCATCATGAGCCAGTCTTGACTGCTAGCCTCATAGAGCAGGATTGGGCTGTGAAAGCCACCAGGCCAGCGCCAGGACTCAGAGCCTGGCCACAGAGCCCCTGGGGAAGGAGAACCCTGGGTCTGTTGATGATGATGTTCCTCCATAGACTGTGAATTCTAAAGAAATGACATTTGATGCAGAACATCAACATTCTACAAAGCCACCAAGGACCAACAGTTGCCTTTAGAAGGAAAAAAAAAATACTGACACTAACACTTCATCCAGGGTTGCCGTTCTTGATAACTCCCCCCACCCCTTTGTCTGTATGTCTCTACAGTGTAGGAGGACAGTGACAGGTCACCCAGAGCCGGTTGGGCATAGTTGTATCAGAACACTGTTTACCTGGTGTCAATAGAAGCAATAATAGATCAGCAGATCATTCAGGGGGAAAAAAATTAATCACCTACTACTCACAGACTGATTAAAAATCCAGTGCAAAATTAAAGTTTTGAGATTAAGAAGAAGATTCATCCCCAGGATCCAAAAGTTTTGCAAGGAACATACTACTGAATAGGGTACATTGTAATCAATACTGATTTTCTTCATCTTGTGTCACTGATTAAAAATAATAATAATAAAAACCCTAGGTGTTAAGTGACAGGGAATCTAAAAATCGATGCTAATTCTCAGAGTTCTTTTGGGGACTACGGTCTCACACCAGCATCAGGAGATCCTCATCTTATTTTGTGTGTGTGTGCGCATGTGTTGCAGGGTGGAGGGTACTGGGACTTGAACTTTGGACCTCAAGCTCTCACTTGGCTTTTTTCACTCAAGGCTGGCATTCTACCATGTGAGCCACACATCTCTGCTTTTCTAACTTTTCATTGGTTAAATTTGAGATGAGAGTCTCATGGATTTGTCTGCCCAGGCCTCAGGCTTCAAACTACAATAACAGTTAACTCCATTCAGAGAATCTCTCGTATGTCGTCTCCCTGGCTTTGATTATTCAGACTCCCCATTGAACCGGACTCTCCACAGTGAGTGCCTGTTCCGGCCGCCATTTTGTACTGAAGGCATTGCCCCAGGAAAGTTAATTGCCAGTCAACCATGTCCAGTGATGACACTCCTCCTCCCTTACGTGAAAGCAAATTTCTGAATCTTGAATTCACAACCGAACAGGAAAATGCCAGGACTAACTGGACCAAGTCGTCTTCTGAGTCAAACATGTCCCTTGCACAGGGAGTCTGAAAGTCTGATACCTTTTGGAAATGAAAAGTGTGGGTTTAAGAATTGTCTTGCAAAACCCAAAGTGCCAAGCGATCAAGGAGCTAGAAGACACGGAGTCCTGGGAAATACGAATAGCACTGAAATCCACCTTGATTGTATTCCATCTACAAATAAGGGACTTGCAATAGTGTGGAGGATTCTTACTTTAATATTTTTGCTGGAACCTTCTATCCTGCCTTATACTATACTTTGGATAAAATATTATATATGTTTCATTTCTTGTAAAAAAATCTACACAGCATTTCTGCCTATACATGTTGCATTTAATAATGTCAAAAGTGAGGGGGAGAGGCACGCATAGTGACTCACAGCTGTAATCCTCACCTCTGAGGAGGCAAAAATCTAAGGATCATAAGTTGAAACCCAGGCAGAAAAGTCCTCAAGACTCCATCTCTAATTAATCAGCAAATAAGCCAGACAGGAGACGTAGCTCGAGTGGTAGAGCATCAGCCAGGAGCAAACAAAGCACTCTGCCATTTGAGCCATGCTCTTAGCCTTTTGTTTTTATTCTTTTTTTTTTTTTTTTGGAGACAGAATATTACATTATTTTGCTTGGGCTGGCTTCCAACTTGCGGCTCTCCTACCCTGGTCTCCAAAGTAGCTGGGATTATAAGCCTACACTACTATGCTCAGCCATGTGCTCTACTTTTATACACTTGGCAGCAAAATAGGATTGTTTACAGCAGCAGCCCGCATGAGCTGTGTGAATCATTGTAGTACCACATTAGGGTGGCTACGATGACACTAGATGACAGGAATTTACCCGCTCCATTATCATCATTGGGGATCATTCTCACGCATTCAGCCTGTCTTGCTAATCCTTTTCATGGCACATGATGATTGTATGTTTACCTGTGAATTTTTTTAAAGTGAAATCTTTGCCAAGACTTCCTTTGTGCCTTATATAGCGTTTAACGGAAGCACTCATTTCCAACCTCTTCCCCGAGAAGCCTAAGGCCTCAGTATGTTGCTGAGATCTCACAAAGACCCAGCAGTCAACACACTCGAGTTATAATCCTCCTGGCAAACCTCGCCTCTGCTGAACTCAGTTTCCTCATCTTTAGACTGAGGGCTTTTCCTCCTCGCACACACTCCTAACTTCTACAAAGACCTGCACAGTCTCCCTGGCCAGGAAACAAGTTCCACTCTGCCCACCTCAGTTTGCTGAGCCTCTGCAGCCAGAGCAGCCCTGCCTGAGGATCATCACAGTCACCTCACCCTTGAGCTGAGCTCTAGCTTTATCCTGCTCACATCCCCAGCCCTCCTTCCTTCCAGCTGGCTGTGCCAATTCCAAGGACCTGTGAGATCACTTTAGGGAACATGTCTAAAGAATCAAGGGAATGGGCCTTAATAATCATTTGAAAATGGCAGGCGCTGGTGGCTCACACCTCTAATCCTAGCTGATCAGGAGGCTGAGATCTGAGGATCTCAGCTGAGATCTGAGGATCTCAGTTCGAAGACAGCCTGGGCAGGACAGTCCCTTCTCCAATCAATCACCAAAAGCTAGAAGTTGGCTCTGTGGCTCAAGTGATGGAGCGCTAGCCTTGAGCAAAAAGAAGCTCAGGGACAACAGCCAGGCCCTGAGTTCAAGCCCCGGACTGGCATACACACACACACACACACACACACACACACACAATGGCAGAGTGAGAAAAGAGATTTCTGGGATGCTAAACAGTCTCTCCCAGATGTATTAACTGTTTGTGTTCTGGAAGAATTCCTAAGCCCCCACACCTCTTGTGCAGAGGATGGACGTGCTCCTTAGGTCTACCCAGGACATGGGGGTACAGGGGTCTCTTTTCTTCACAGCCCAGGCCAACCCTTTGCCTCCTCCCAGCCCGGGGATGGTCCCCTGTGCAATATGTTCTGGAACGATTTCCCGTTGAATGAATGATTTCTCTCAGTGCCAAGACTCAAGATATTTTCCCTCTTTTTCTTTTCTAATTTAATCCAGAAATTGGCCTTGACTTACCAAAGTCTTGCCAGGGTTTGCAAACAATCAGGAGGCATCTGGGCTCAATTGCTCACCAACTTTCAAGAATGTTGGGGCCACGTGGTGGCGGTGGCGGCGGCGGCAGTGGTGGCCACGGCAGCAGCAGGGGACAGCAGAGTCAGGACGAAATGTTTTCTGCTGGTCACGGGGAGGAAGAATTCTCACGAACTGCAAACCAGCCAGGCAGGAGGCGTCATGCCCGCCCTCCACCCCCCCTTCTCTCTTCTCCAATCCCCCCCCCCCCCCCCCCCCCCCCCCCCCCCCAGTCCTCAGTCAGGTGTCCTTGTAAGGACACCTCTGAAACTGGACACAGGAACTTGGGGAGTTTGGGATTGGCCACAGCTTAGGACTGTGAGCAAAGTTTCCTTCTCCCCCATGACAGAATCCCAGCATCAGGCCACCAGGGTCTCCCTTGGCTCTCGTCTGTTCCCCATGCTTGTCCCTGCAAGCCCTCCTTGATACAAATGTGGGGGCCAGTGCTCTGTGTGTGTGTGTGTGTGTGTGTGTGTGTGTGTGTGTGTGTATCTGGCATTGCATTCAGCTCAGGTGCTGATGGGAGCCAGAAGGCAGTGAACACCGGGGCGGGGCGGGGGGGGGAGGGTGGTATTCGGACTCTAGGGATTGGCTGGGACGAGGGCATCAGGAGAGGCCACACCCCCAAGAGGTTCTGCGGTGCTCCGTGCCCACTTGTGGTCTTGTAGGACTAAGCAAGGCCCCGCCGGTGCCAGAAAAGAAAAGATGGAAATCCAATTTCCATGGGAAATCTAATTATTTCTCCATGCGGGCCACAAATTGAAATGAACCCCACGCTGCCCAGGTGAATGAGCGCGCAGCCAGCCTCAGGATGAGTCTGGCCTGTAAGTGACCCATGATTTCTTCCAGCCTAGAAGACCAGAGGCAATTGCCTGCTCTGACATGCTGCTGTGCCCAGGGAGAGGAGTGGTTAATGCCATGTCTAGAGGTTTCTGTAAACATCAGAGAAGGGCCTGACAGGTGCTGGGTACCTAGAGGGGCCTTCTGAAACTGTGAGCTGTCCCTCAGAACCCCTGATTCACATAACCCCATTTCTGGGGTCCTGTTCAGGCAAGGGTGGATGCAGTGGGGGGGTGGAGGGCGGGAAGCAGGGTGAGGACAATAATTCACTTCTATCACCTGCTGATCTCACAAGGGAAGGGTGATTGGGGTACCTGGGTCAGGGGAAGCTCTTCAGATGAGGGCTACTGCGGCTGCCTCCCACAGAGGGTCCTGGGTGGCAGGAAAGCATGTGCAAAGGTCCGGTGGCATCTCCCGCTAACATGGTTCTGACCTGGCTGGAGGTGAGGATGTTGAGGAAGGGAAGGAAGGAGATGAGATTGGCTTGGCATCTAACGATGTAGAAATGTGTCTCTGGAGGAATTGAGGGCTGGAGTGAAGCTCTTAGATTACTGAGAGCACATATCCCCAGAAAGGAGAAACTGATGGGGGTCGGGTTGTTCTATGCGCTCTACAGGGAGAGAGATCAGGATGTCTCTGTATTGCCTGGTGGCCTAGCGAGGTTCCCTTTCTGGGCGTGGCCAGCCAGGCTCAGAGAGGTTGGACAGAGGCCTGTGGCTGGGCCAGGCAGGTAGGACCTGAGTAGGTGGGGGATGGGCAGGCACATTCTCATCTCTACCCTCTCTGACCTCTCCCCTTCTCCCTGCCATACCCAAGGACCTCTCCATCTACTATGTGTTTAGCCTCTCTTTTGTTGTTGTTGTACCAGTCCTGGGGCCTGAGCACCGTCCCTGACCTTTTCCTCTTCTTCTCTTCTCTTTTCTTTCTTTCTTTTTTTTTTTCTTTTTTGGAGATAAGAGTTTCACAGACTTTCCTGGCTGGGCTGCAGCTTGGGCTGGCTTCTAACCTCGATCCTCCAGTCTCAGCCTCCTGTCAGGCAAGGATGACAGGTCTGAGCCACTCCGTACAGACTTGGCGAGCATGGTGGCCAATGTGGTGAGCTGTGAGCCTCCTCGTGGAGCTCATGGGTGGCCCATGGACCAAAGATGCTGGAGCATTCTGAAATGGGGGCCACAGGCCAATTTTGCTTCTGTCTCCTCTTATGGACATCTGTCCCCTGGCTTCTCGCTGTTTTCCTTGCTCCTCAGTGAAGGCTCCTGACAGCTGATGCGCACAAGCCTGGGAGCTGTCAGTCCTTGGCATTCTGTCCCCTGGGGAGCTGACAGTTGTCAGAACAAGAGGGAGAGTCCCCAGAGGATGGACCAGGAGGCCGGGGCTCCATGACAGCTTGAGGTAGCCCGGGAGCTCATCTCCCGTGTGGATTCCAGCGAGGATGTGACAGCTGAGTCAGGAAAGCGGCGGCAACACGTGCGCTTGCGCTTGTCACCCCCTCCTCGTTCTCCATCTCTGAGGGGCCCTCTCAGGCTACTCCCTGAGTTGAGTGACAGTCGAGTGACGCGTCTTCAAAGCTCTAGGGGTTCACACAAAGACACCGTCTCTTAAGTTTTTAAACCAGAGAGGGTCTGCCTATCTCATTTGTCCAGGCGTAATACCTCACAACAGGTCGGCACATAGTAGGTGCTCAATAAATCCCCCCCCACCACCACCACACACACACTCCCTTTTTTGGGCTTTTGCATTTGCTAAGCCAGGTGCTTTTCCTCTTGTGCCATACCCGCAGCCCTTTTCCTTTTCCTTTCTGTTTGTTCATCAGCTTCTCACTCTCAGCAAATGTTTCGAGTGCAAGCATCCTCAGGACCCTCACCGCCATTTCTTTCGGCAGGGGGTGGGGGGGGTGGGAGGGGGAGTTTTCAGGGAAGATCCTCTCTCCCTAGCCTGGCTGATTAGCTGGGGGTTGCCTCTCATTGTCCAGTGCTCAGTCAAGAGAGCAAGCCTTTCTAGAAGGTCGGGTTCTCTCCCAGGGAACCGCATCAGCTGCTACACACACACACACACACACACACACACACACACACACACACATCCCCTATAACCAGCCAGGCCCACAGCCTCCCCCAGCATGGAACTCCAGGTCCCCCCTACTAGGGTCTCATCTGCACCCATTTTCCTGACTTTGGCAGAGGGGGAACTCCCTGCCCAGCTGCCTCAGGTCACTCCCTCCAGGGACTGGCATTGGTGCCCCCTCTCTCCCTCTCCCCCCCCCCGCTGCCCCCAGTGGCACAGAGCCAGCAGCAAGGCAAACTTTTCCATTGTCAGGCTGAGCCTCCTCCTTGCTTATTGTCTATTCTGCAGCAGAATCTTGGCTGCATCTTTGCATAAGCGAAAGGCGAATTACAATGTGTTTCCCCCCACGCCTGAGTCCTTGGCCTCGCTCCCACATGCACCGAGAAGGGCTGCGGCTTTGAACCTTTTCCCCAAGGTTTAAAGATTCCAGGATCAATTTCTCAGACAGGCTCAAGGACGTTGTCCTTGCGCGTCCCTTCCCCCTGCTGTCTGGGCCGAGGACGGCAGCTTCTCCCCAGCACATAGGCCCTGTGGAAGGGCAGGGCAGGAGGGCAGAGGGATGCTGGGAGTGGGGGACAGAGAACATAACTAGAAACCTTTGTGTTACCAAGAAAGGCAGGCCCATGCTGACCTTTAGAACCCTCCAAAGTCATCCATTCACTCATTCATCCATTCATCCAACAGTTCCACAATGAGCACCTACTCTGGGGTAGATTTTGCTGGGGATAGGGGAGGTAAGGCAAGTGCAAAGGCCCTGAGGTAGGGATAGGCCCACTAGGCAGAGAAGAGCCTAGAAGAGGCAGCAAGGCTGGCTCTTCCTTGCCTTGAGGTCCTGGAAAGGCATTACAGTTTTACTCCCAAGTGCCAGAAGAAGGCCCTGGAATAGAGGGTCTAAACCAGGAGTAAATGCCTTCGTCCTTCGAAACATTTTCACTACTACTGCTTTCTGTCTTCGAGTGCTCTCCAGACACTTAAGGAATTTGGGGCCTGGAGAAGGGAGTGTGGGAATTCCAGGCATGAGCCATTGCGCAATGGCAGGAGAGGAGGCTACAGGCTTTGGAGGAAGGCCCACAGAGCAGAGCGACTGAGCCTGGCCGTCAGGAGTCGTCCGAAGTCAGGGCTCCCTGCTGGAGAGAAGCTAAAGTGGGAAATGGAGAAGCCAGCCAGGACTGTCTTGGAGAGGGCACTGGGAAGCCATGGAGGGTCTTAGGCAGAGGAAGGAGGCAGTGGTTTTGGAAAGGAGAGGGACAGACCCAACCAAGGCAGGAAGGTCTGGGAAGCTGTGCCAAGCTCTTCCACACAGGAACACTTAGATCAAAGCTAAGCCCTGGGTCACGGCTTCCATGGCTGTGACCAAACACCTGCCCCTTGTTTGGCTTCTGGGTCCAATCCGTGTTCCACCTGACTCTGTTGCTTTGGGCCTCCCATGCTGAGGAAAGCAGAGCTGCTTACCTCATGGCTGCTGATGGGAAGTGGCTAGGGCTGCCCACCCCTAAAGACCTAACTTCCTCCCGCTAAGCCCCGCCTTCTGAGGGCTCCATCACCTTCCCAATGGTGCTATAGGCTGAGATCCAAACCGTAACGTCCAATCTCAGGCTCAAGCTTGGTTCTAATTGCTTGGACTGGAATCAGCGAATACCACCAGGCAGGGGAGCTTATGTAACAGAAGTTTCCTTCACACATTTCTGAAACTGGGAATTCCAAGATCAAGGTTGCCAGCTAATTTGTTTTCCCCCCTGGGGATGGGGGGAGGACCTTTAGCATTTACAGATGGTCACTTTCCTCGCCGTGTCCTCATTTGGACAGAGTGAGGGGGTGGGGAGAAATTGAAGCAAGGAAGCCTCAGGATAGCTCCCAGCCCAGGGCTCACCTGGCCCATGTGCTGAACAGGCTGTGTGGTGGAGGTGTAGCAGGGTGGGAGCACTTTAAAAAAAAAATTGTTACCATGAACCTCACGGACATCTGGAGAAGCCAGTGGACACCTGCTCTGAGTCAAGTTTAATTTTTCTTTAAAAGCCCCTAAAAATAAAATAACACTGAGATACGAGAGACAAATGGCAGAGTCACACCTATGGGAACAGAATGGAGACCGTCTGTGATATCACTAGTGGTTCATGCCTGTACTCAGACAGGGGGTGATGGCCACAAAGGTGAGGGCCAGAGGAGGATGATCAAGAGAAAGATCAGCAAGAAGCTAAGGGTCCTGTCAGGTTTGTAAAAGCATGGACCAGGGAACAAGTTGGGCAGGAGGGTGTTTAATTGAAGCTGGTTTAATTGAAGCGTCATTCCTTCCCGGTTGTCTTTTAGGTCAATGAAATCTATCACGACGAGTCTTTGGGCGCCCACATTAATGTCGTTCTGGTGCGGATTATCCTGCTGAGCCATGCAAAGGTGAGTGAGCCTCCCAAAACCAGGCCCTGCCGGCAACACTGCACACCACACCACAGCGCCACCTCAGCCTCTCGCTGCACATCTGTGGTTCTGTGCACCCAAGCCACCTCCATGCCCTGTGGCCCTTCCCCTTGACTTCTTGTTTATCGTTCTTCAACACATATAAAGATGCCATCAGTCTGGGTGTGGTGGCTCACGCCTGTAATCCTAGCTACTTAGGAGGCCGAGATATGAAGATCACGGTTCAAAGCCAGCTTGGGCAAGAAAATCTGTGAGCCTCTTGTCTCCAATGAATCACCAGAAAACTGGAAGTGGGGCTGCAGCTCAAACAGTAGAACCCTAGTGTTGAGCAGAAAAGCTCAGAAACAGCACCCAGGCTCTGAGTTCAAGTTCCACGACCAGAGGGGGGGAAGAGCAATTGTGTAGGATTCATTGTTTACCAGAGAAGCTCTGAATCCTCTCTGTTCTGCCATACTTAACAGAGGAAGGCTTCTTAACTAGCTGGTCCTTTGCAGTCAAGGTGTGGAGCTGGCCTTCCAAGAGCCATTTCCTTTTCCTTTTCTCAGGAACCACTTCAGGTAATATGGTCATTTTAGATCCACACTGGAGCAGGGGTTCTGTGCCTGGCTGTGGGCTCTGCTTGATTCAGCCAGTGCAGTTTGGAGCTGCAGGCTGAGCAGCAGTATCTATGGGAAAGGAGGACGGGGCAGCGGGAAGCTGCTCACACACTGGGGCTCAGATGACATAGGAAAGAGGCAGTTAGTGGAAGGTAACTGCCAAGGTTCAAAGAACCCCTCTCTCCTGGACCCCATTTCTAACCTACTGTAGACCAATTTCCAATCAAGTATTAGAAAAGGCAACGGTGACAACGCACAAGCTATATATATATATATTTTAAAGTTTCTTCAGTGGGTGCCGGTGGCTCTTGCATGTTGTCCTAGCTACTTAGGAAGTTGAGATCTGAGGTTCACAGTTTAAAGCCAGCTTGGGTAGGAAAAATCTATGAGACTTCTTTCCAAGTAACCATGTAAAAGCCAGCAGTGGAGCTGTAGCTCAAGTGGTAGAGTGCTAGCCTTGAGCACAAAAGCTCAGGGACAGCATCCAGGCCCTGAATTCAAGCCCCAGGACCACACCAAAAAAAAAAAAAAAAAAAAAATCCCTGTTCTTTTTTTTTTTTAATGACTAAATTCCATAAATTTCATTTAAAAAAAACACATGCCTGTAATCCTAGCTACTCAGGAGGCTGAGATCTGAGGATTGCAGCTCAAATCCAGCACAGGCAGGAAAGACAGTGAAACTCTGTATCTCCAGCAAACTACCAGAAAACCGGAAGTGGCTCTATGGCCCAAGTGGTAGAGCGCTAACCTTGAGCTGAAAAGCTGAGGAACAGTGTCCAGGCCTAGAGTTCAAGCCCCACTTTTAGATTGCTTTTGTGTCTGAAAGTTTCACATTTCTGTACTCTATATTGCATAGCCCAACTTCTAGGAGGGCCTATGCTTTTGGAATCCCTTGAGGATATCATAGAGGAAAAGCAGAGCCAAAGCTTCTAGAAGGGAGTCTGGGGACAGCCAAGATGAATAATATGGAGGAGGTGGTCTGTGGAGATCTCAGATTTCCTATTGAGGAGTGAAAACCTGTCTGAAGGAATTTAAGTGCGGCAGATTCCCGGTGGGTATAGGCAGGAAGAAAGACTTGAGGGGGGGGAGTCCCGCAGGGGGATGAAGGGCGGTGACCTTGACGTGGCCAGAAAGTGGCCCAGTTCCTCAGATTGTACTGTCCATTCCTAATTGTGACAGAAATAGACGCCCTCCCCCACAATTCCCATCCCTCCCCTGTCCCTAGGACCCACACACTCCAGCAGGGATAAAATTGGTAACAGGTACATGAGTGACATGTTATTTGTCTTCTGGCTTATGAGAAGCCTCTGAGTTAGCTCAAGTTTTCCCTCAAACAACATTTTTCTCCATTTCTTAAAAAAAAAAAAAAGCAGAAGAAAAGAGATTATCTTATTTTATACAATATGCCACCAGCCCGGGAGCAGAGCATCGGCAACATTGGAGGGTTGCATAGCAACTAGCTTTTCAATTGATTTTTTTTTTTTTTGGAGAAGGTACCAAAGTGAACTCGACTGTTCTCATTTTTTAAATATTCCCTAGGATGATGGAAATCAAAGCAAATGGGTAGCAGAGACTCAGGGTCAGAGAGGGACAGAAAGGTGTCCTGTCATGCGAGGCCAGGTGAAAACAAAGGGTGGAGGGCTGGTTGGATTTTGTTCATGTGAACTGAGAGTTCTGACTAGAAGAGTCTTAGAGGATGAGAGAAGAGAGGTGCTCAGCACCCCAGGGCCCCACAGCAGCACCGCGGTGTTCTACACACACACACACACACACACACACACACACACACACCCAGCGGCGGCCCCTGGAGCCCTCCAGAGGTCCAATTCCCAACCTGATTGGAGTCAGGTATGATGGTCAGTCCCCAGTTCTTCTTGGCCAACCTCCTGGCCTGAACTTCTCAGGGTGCCACACTGCCCCCCTGCAAAGTGTCCTCATCCATTGGGGCTGCTCTGACACAAATACCTCCATCTGGGTTAGTTGTTGTCAGATGGATGGACTGGAGGCTGGGAGGTCTAGATCTAGAGGCCGGCTGATTGGGGGAGGCTCATTCCCCAGAGAGGTGCCTCTGTATCCCCCTCATGAGGGAAGGGCAAATGGCCTTCCACAGGACTCTTACCTGGGCAGGTGTGAATGTACACATGGCAGGGGGGGCAGGCTTTGTCTTCATGACCCCCCACTTGTCACTATTGCTGGAATTTGGGCAACCTTCAGAGACCATCGCAGGAGGCCACTGCACTGTGGCCAGCCCTGCCTGGCCCGGGGCAGTGGGTGCGGACACCTCTTCTAGGAGGTGGCTTTCTCTAGAATCAGCTTCCCAGGATTCCGGGAGACGGTGCAGGAAATAAAACGTGTTTCCTGCCATGAGAATCCCAGCACAGAAGTGACTCTTCCTGGGGTTCTAAGCAGCCTGTCATGAGATTTGAGCTCTCTGAGCTGGGTTGATGGTAGAAGAACCCGGCCTCGAGGGAACTCTTGCCACATTTGCCAGGAGAACACAGCAGACCACAGACTCGTGGAGCCCGACCGCGCTGTCACTAGTATTAATTCCAGACCTATGGAGGCATCATCATCCAAGAGTAGTATTAACCTCCCCTCATCCCCTCTTTGTTGGATACTGGGATTTGAACTCAGGACCTGTCATTCACTCAGCTTGCTTGCTCCGCTGGCGCTTGACCACTCCAGCCATGCCTCCAGCTGGGTTATTTTGGAGATGGAGTCCCATGAACTTTTTCTGCCTAGGCTGGCCTCAAACTGGGATTCTCCAAGATCTCAGTCTCCAGAGTGGCTAGATGGGAGTCACCGGGTGCCTGATTCTTCTCTTCACAAGACAGGGGGGGAGAAGGAAGGAAGGAAGGAAAGAAGGGGAGGGGGAGAAAGGATTCATAAATCTTACGTGGGATTTTTTTTGGGGGGGGTCCGGTCGTGGGGCCTGAACTCGGCCTGGACGCTGTCCCTCAGCTCTTCAGTTCAAGGCTAGTGCTCTACCACTTGAGCCACAACGCTACTTCCGGCTTTTTTCTTTTTGCTTATGTGGTGCTGAGGAATCGAACCCAGGGCCTCAAGCATGCAAGGCAAGCGCTCTACCACTGAGCCACCTTCCCAGCCCACATAGGATTTTTTTTGTCAGTCCTGGGTCTTGAACTCTGGGCCTAGGTGCTGTCCCTCAGCTCTTAAGCTCAAGGCAAGCGCTCTACCACTTGAGCCACAGCACCACTTCTAGTTTTCTAGTGGTTAATTGGAGATAAGAGTTTCACAGACTTTTCTGCCCAGGCTGGCTTTGGACCTCAATCCTCAGATCTCAGCCTCCTGAGTGGCTAGGATTACAGGTGTGAGCCACTGGTGTCTGGAAGGATTTTTGTTTTATTGAATCTATTTTATTATTGGCGTTGTTTCTCTCTCTCTCTCTCTCTCTCTCTGGGCCTAATTGATAGATTACACTTTTACCCTAGGTATGCAGGGAAACACATGGTATCCAAGGGGTTTGGCAGCACCCAATGCTTCAGATATCACCTGAGGGTGTGGACATATGTCCCCTGAGATTTAGGAAGGACAACTATAGTGACAGTTGTCATCTCTACCTGACAGCCACACACTGTTTATTGTTCACAACTAAGGGAGGGGATGCTACTGGCTTCTGGAAAGTTCTGGGCAGGGAAACTGCTGAATACCCTACAATATGCAGCATAACCCTCTCTACCGAGGATTGTCTGTGTCTCAACATTAGCCAGGCCAAGACGGAGACATACCTTCTGATCACCTCAGCCAGCCCCAGTGCCTTTGCACGTCATCCCATTTTATGCCTGTTGGTCTGAGGTGTCTTGAGATGGATCTCCCTTGGAGCACGAACCGTGGGGGTGCAGGCCAACTCTGGTAAGCGGGCCAGCTCCCCTCCCCCACTGTGGACTAGTCCAGCTTTTGGAGAAAGAGTGAGTTTGAGATAGAGTTTCCCTATGGAATCCAGGCTGACCTCAAACTCTCATGATCCTCCCTGCCTCAGCCTCCTGAGTGCTGGGATTAATGGCATGCATATCAGGCTGGAGACTGGTCCATCTTATTGTCATTGTCACAGAAGACAGGGAGCATTTGTGGACTGTGTGCTTCCCACACATACACACACATCGCACTGTTACAGATGAAAGACTCACCTTGATTGCATCTTAGTTTGCATCTGGGGAGCCCAGAACAACGAGGTAACTTGTTCCAGAACACAGAACACATGACAGATTTTGGCCCATGTCCCCAGGTCTCAGGCCCTCTGTTTGCCCAGATGAGCCACCTGCCATGGTCGGTGTATTGGGCACGTGACATGTGGCAGACACAGCTGCACTGTTGCAGAGTGCCGCTCCAGGACGACCAAGGCTGGAGGCTGACGATGCCATG